GGTATAAAGTTTTATTGTGTTAGTTCCGGGAAATAATAAAATAAATCACGTTTCTATCGAAATTATTACAACAGGGAATTCAAAATAATGTGTTCTTGGGCAATTTCGAATGGAAAAAAGCTCTACAAACTCGTATAGAGCTCGTTGGGGAAACTTTTGATGGAAATAGTTTGCGTTATAATGTTGTTTGTTCTTTGAAGGATGGATGTTACACTGAATATTGTTTTTAAAGTGTTGCAAATTGTTGTTTTTACTTTTATGGTGTCCTCACACGCGCGGCCGCGCTGCGACAAAGTAATCATTGATAACATAACGTCTGCTAAAGCCATGAAAGTCTAAAAGAGTTAACTAATACTATCATCGACAATGGAACTACTTTTTCAAATCTTTAGACATCCAAAATGTCTAGGAATCAAAAACGTTATTGCTAATTACTGAAAATATTCTCTTTACTGCGCCATAATGTAACTTTGCCTGTAAAGTTGTTAAATAACCGAACCACTGATTTTCATAATACAGGTTAGATGTACGGTCTACGACCGACAATGCGCTCCATCAGCACTTTACCCCTTATTGTCACAATTTAAATCTGTTCACGATCAGCCATCGCGCAGTGAATTCATTTAAATCATCAATCAATCAAAATGCATCATTATTAGTAATCAAGCAAATAAATATATTTGTCAATTATCAAACTATCGTTTTTAAAGATTACGGATCATCTTTTTGGTCCTTCGAGCCGGATATGAACCAGCGACCTGTGGATTGTCGGTCGTAGACCGTGCATTTGCCTACCTTTAAAGTCAAGAACAGATAATCTTGAGTCAATACTAACAAACACAGATTAGATCTTGCGTCAAGTATTGTTTGCACCTCTGGCTCCGCCAAGTACCTTCTCGAAGCTTTGGACAATTTGCAGAGTCGCAACTCGCGCGTCATTGGCGATGAAGAGGTCTCATCACACTTTGAACCTTTACAACTGCATAGAGACGTTGCATCACTTAGTACCTTTTATCGGATGTACGATGGCGAGTTCTCTGAAGGACTGTTCAACCTTATCCCGCCCTCCCCTTTCCTGCTCCGAAGCATGCATGCTGGCCTACGTAGTCACCGATTTACAACTAACCGAATTACATTGCGAACAAAAAGGTTTGGTGGCACCTTCCTTTGTCGTACAGTTGAGTAATGGAACCAGGGCACATATTCCCTCCATCTTACGATATGGGGTCTCTCAAACGAGGCGTGAAGAGGCACATTATAGGCAAGCAGGGTGGAGGTGGAATAGGATCATCTGCCTGTCATGCATAAAAAAAACAAGCCACACATTGTAAAGTAATACTAATTTAGTAATACCGTATGATATTGCTAACTTCTGGACTACTATGCTCGTTAAAGAGAGAAATGTTATCTTCTGGTGACCTCATGCTGGAAAACGCTGTGTATGGTAGCCATACGTGATGTAAGTAGAACGATAATATGGTGCAGGCCTCAGAAAGGAGAACGCAGGTTCTAGGTTTCGTCATAGTGATAATAAACTTACCAGAAAACAAAAGCTGGCGCTTCCGTGGTCTGCACAACCGAGCACTGCAACCGCAGCGTTGACCCCGGCTTGAGGTATTTCTCCGTCGGGCCGGAGATCTGCGCGCGGGCCTCTGCAACGAACCAACTTGATTTAGTAATTAAACCTAGGCTTATTTATTGTTTAAACCAGACATTATAACCTAATAGGTAACCTAATAGTTTGACGTACCGCCTCTTAAGCAAAGGCCATGGCTTCGAATCCGGGCTTTTACCTCTGACTGTCTAGGAATTCATGTACGAAATATAATTCAAAATCTTCGTATTTAATCTTCGATCTTTGTATTAATAATTATAACAAACTAGTGGAGTAATTTCACAAAAAATAATTGATTATCAATTCAATAAAAATTTTATTAATACAGTCAATAGCGACATCTCTCGCCAGGACTGGTAGCTGTAAAGGTACTAACTGGGTGATAAATCTGTCATAGATTTCTCATAGATGGCGCTACGACTAAAAAGTCGTTGAAAGACCAAGTACAAAGACACGACGCAAGCACATAGAAAAATTCGTGAGGTCCGTTGGTTCGTTCCGTGACTTAGTTGGCATAGCGTCTGGCATGGTATGCAAGAAGACGTCGGTTCGAATCCGACCGGATCGAAGGGATTTTTTCTGAGTGTTCGTTCGATTAATAATTATAATTCAAAATTTGCCAAGAGTTTTTCGGGGAAGGAAAATATCGTGATGAAGAAGGTTGACAACCATAGAAAAACAGTTTTAGCAATAGAGTTCCTGTGATAGAGTTGGTCCAGGGAAGTACTACCATTTTACCTATTACTGCCGCCAAGTACTAACGTGAGCATTTTGAAGGCTAGGGGTGGTGATGAATTTAAAGGCACATGGGAGTTATCAACGTATGTTTTAGGGCGACGGGTGCAGTGGCAGTTTCCTTCCGATCTTTCACGGCTTTAGGCACTGCAACTGTTATGAACAGGCGGGTTGCTTATCACCAGGCCCACGACTTGTTCGTCCCGCCACTTACTATTATGGATAATAATAATCGTAGTCGATGCATTTTCAAAATTCGGTTAGCTTTATCCAATGTATGGTCAAGATGCAATAGAATTAAAACGAATTATAAGAAATGTAATTTCTTTATTTGGTACACCGAAATTAATCCTAGCAGATCGTGGGCGGATGTTCCAAAGAACAGAATTTACCGACTGTGCCTCAGAGTTGGGCATTGATGTACATCTCATAACACCTAAGATGCATCACTCGAACGGACAGGTGGAGCGCTATTGTCGAACGCTACTGAATATAATTATCGACAAAATGAATGGTCTGAGATTATGTGGCGACTTCAGCTGGTTCTTAATGTAACTAAACAGAAAACTACTCAATTAACACTTGCCGGTAATATTTCCCTCGCCCCACTCTCCACCCCGCACAAGTTCGAATTAATTTTTTTCCCATGCTGAATCGGTAGTATAGCGCGGGTCGAACTGCAGGGACACTGGCTTTGTTACAGATTTTATTTTTTTACAACAAATTTTTTTGTAAAAATGTATATCGTATACTACACGTGTTCTATTTAGTTCAGTTGATGAAAAAAAAACATTGGTATATGTAAAGTATCTTTGACGCGAATGTCGTTAAAAGCTGCTAAAGCATAAAGTTTGGAGCTAGATATCTTCCTGGATACTGCATGCTGTGTTTTCTCTCTTGTGTTTTATAGTCGACTTTATGTGACAGTTGTAGCTAGTAACTAGGACCATTTTCCTGGATATGGTAAGCTGTACGCCTATCCATAACAGTTGCAGTGCCACT